CACAGATATATAAACCCAAATTTCTTAGTTTCCAACAGACCTCACAACCTCTGAGGATGCTGCCATAGATGCAGGCGAAATCAGGAGAGAATGCTTCTAGAACATGGCCCAGACAGCTCGGAAAACACACAGCGACCCATTTAAAAGTATTAAATTGGTTTCATAGAATCATAAGGTTGGAAGAGACCTAGTGGGCCATCCAGTCAAATATATATTATTTTAGCTATAGGTCGATGGGATATTATTGTTATATTATTAGGGTCTAGTCCTGCCCAGAGGTCAAAGTGGGATATTATTATATTACATTATATTGATTAATATATCATTATATTTATTACATTATATTATTATTATTATTATTATTATTATTATTGCTTCTGAGTCAAGAGGTAAGAATGGGATATTATTATTATATTTTTATTATATATGTGTGTGTGTGTAAAATATATTTATTATAATTTTATTATATTTATTATTATGAGAGTTGAAAGGGACCCTCCAAGGCTGTCTAGTCCTTTTTATATATATAATGTAAAAATATAAGAATAATATCCCATTCTTACCTCTTGACTCAGAAGCATATGGCTAAAATAATAATAATAATAATAATAATAATAATAATAATAATAAATACAATAATATAATGTAATAAATATAATAATATATTAATCAATATAATATAATAATATCCTACTTTTACCTCTGTGCAGGACTAGACAGCTTTGGAGGGTCCCTTCCAACTCTCATAATAATAAATATAATAAAATTATAATAAATATATTTTACACACACACACACATATATATTATAAAAATATAATAATAATAATAATGATAATAATATCCCATTCTTATTATATTGATTGATAAATTATTATATTACATTATTGTATTTATCATTTTAGCCAATTGCTTCTGAGTCAAGAGGTAAGAATGGGATATTATTATGATGATTATTATTAAATTTTTACTATATATATATGTGTGTGTGTGCGTGCAATTTCATATATTATATTTATTATAATTTTCTATATTTTATGATTTTATATATTATATTTATTATGATTTTATATATTACATTTATTATAAATTTATATATTATATTTATTACAATTTACTTATATATATTTATTTTGATTTTATATATTATATTTATTACAATTTTATATATTATATTTATTATAATTTTATACATTATATTATAATTTTATTCATTACAATTTTATATATTATATTTATTACAATTTTATATATTATATTCATTACAATTTTATATATTACATTTATTACAATTTCATATATTACATTTATTACAATTACATATATCATATTTATTACGATTTAGTATATTATATTTATTACAATTTAGTATATTATATTTATTATAATTTTATACATTATATTTATTACAATTTTATATATTATATTATATATTATACGTATTAGGATTTTATATATTATATTCATTACAATTTTATATATTATATTTATTACAATTTTATATATTATATTCATTACAATTTTATATATTACATTTATTACAATTTCATATATTACATTTATTACAATTACATATATCATATTTATTACGATTTAGTATATTATATTTATTACAATTTAGTATATTATATTTATTATAATTTTATACATTATATTATATACTATATTTGTACTATTATATATATATTTATTATAATTTTATATATCATTTATTACAATTTTATCTATTATATTTATTACAATTTTATATATTACATTTATTACAATTTTATGTATTACATTTATTACAGTGTTATATATTACATTTATTACGATGTTATATATGATATTCATTATAATCTTATATATAATATTACGATTCTATATATTATATTCATTACGATTTTATATATTATATTTATTACAATTTCATATATCATATTTATTACGATTTTATATATTGTATTCATTACAATTTTATATATTGTATTTATTATAACTTTATATTTATAACAATGTTATAAATATAAAGTAATAATAAATACAATATATAAAATTGTAATGAATATAATATATAAAATTTTATTATATTTATATTACATTTATTACAATGTTATATATTATATTTATTATGATTTTATATTTATTATGATTTTATATATTATATTTATTACGATTTTATATATTATATTTATTACGATATTATTATATTATATTATTACAATTTTATTATATTATATGTATTATAATTTTATTATATTTATTATTATGACAACTATAACATCCCAGGGTTGGAAGGGACCCTCCAAGGCCATCTAGTCCTGCCCAACCCTTCTGCCTTAAAGGAGGACACCATCAAAACCTTCCAAACAGATGGCCATTCAGCCTGTGCTGCTATTATTATTATTATTATTATTATTATTATTAATAATAATAATAATAATAGTAGTAGTAGTATTCCTGTTATTATTATTATTGAATAATAATATTGTAATGAATAGTAGTATTCCTGTTATTATTATTATTATTATTATTAATAGTAGTAATATTCCTGTTATTATGATAGTGAAGCAGAGCTGGAAGAGGATGTTGGAGAGAGTCAGAAGGAAAGGCTGTTCTTGCAAAAGAATGAGAATTATTCCCAAAGGATTGCAAAGAAATGCAGATGTAAACAGATTCCCCTATTCAGTCCTCCAAAGACCAACGAGCAGAGCCAAGCTTCCTAGAGCAACTGCAAACGAGGGAAAGGCGGCGGGAGACCGGAAGGAAGTGAGGGCGCGGGTCATAGAGAAGAAACCGGAAGTGAGCTAAACAGGAAGTGGAAAGAAAACGCCGATCCTGGAGGAGTAGGAGGTAAAATTGTCTCTCTGTTTATGTAGTGTTAGCTTGGGGACCCGGCGTTCTGTGAGAAGGGCCTTTGTGTCCTGGGCTCTTTGGAGAACTACAACTCCCACAGGCCAAGGATAAGGGTGAACTACAGCTCCCACCACCAAACCAGGCCTGGATACAGAATGGGCCTTATGGGGCCTGCGTGCCAAGCTTGGCCCTGATCCAACGTCTTCTGGGGTCAGTGCTCTGTGGGTAAAGGGGAACTATAAATCCCAAAATCAAGGTCAATTCCCAGTAACCCCTGCAGTATGTTCTCTTGGTCATGGGCCTTCTCTATGTCAAATTGGGGTCTGTTGGGGTCACTGTATCTCTAGATGGGGGTGAACTACAACTCCCAAAACTAAGGTCAATTCCCAGTAACCCCTGCAGTATGTTCTCTTGGTCATAGGCCTTCTCTATGTCAAATTGGGGTCTGTTGGGGTCACTGTATCTCTAGATGGGGGTGAACTACAACTCTCAAAACTAAGGTCAATTTCCACCAAACCCCTGCAGTATGTTTTCTTGGTCATAGGCCTTCTCTGTGTCAAATTGAGTCCCAGTATCTCTGGATGGAGGTGAACTACAACTCCCAAAACTAAGGTCAATTCCCAGTAACCCCAGCAGTATGTTCTCTTGGTCATGGGCCTTCTCTATGTCAAATTGGGGTCTGTTGGGGTCACTGTATCTCTAGATGGGGGTGAACTACAACTCCCAAAACTAAGGTCAATTCCCAGTAACCCCTGCAGTATGTTCTCTTGGTCATAGGCCTTCTCTATGTCAAATTGGGTCTCATTCCATTTTCTGTTGGGGTCACTGTTTCTCTGGATGGAAGTGAACTGCAACTCCCCAAATCAAGGCCAATTGCCCCCAAACCCCTGCAATATGTTCAGTTGGTCATGGGGGTTCTGTGTACTAAGTTAGGTACAGGGCCATCTCAGTGGGGTGCGGGCAAACTATAAATCCCAGTGCCTACAACTAGGAAATGTCAATTCTATCCCCAAATCCACCACTATTCAAATTTGGTAATATCAGGTATGCATGTCAAGTTTAGTCCAGATTCAGCATTGTTTGAGTTCACAGTGAACTCTGGATGTAGGTGAACTACAACTCCCCAAATCATGTTCAATTCCTAGTAACTCCTGCAGTATGTTCTGTTGGTCACAGGGGTGTCTGTATGTCAAATTGGGTCCCAGTCTATTGTCGGTGGGGGTTACTGTTTCTTTGGATGGAGGTGAACTACAACTTCCAAAATCAAGGCCAATTGCCCCCAAACCCTAAGGCAGTATGTTCAGTTGGTCATGGGGTTTCTATGTGCTAAGTTAGGTACTAGGCCATCAGTGGGGTCCAGGGTACCCTTTGATTACAGGCAAACTATAAATCCCAGTGCCTACAACTAGGAAATGTCAAGGACAATTCTATCCCCAAATCCACCACTATTTAAATTTGGTAATATCAGGTATGCATGCCAAGTTTGGTTCAGATCCATCATGGTTTGGGTTCGTAGCGCGTTCTGGGTGGAGGTGAACTACAACTCCCCAAATCATGTTCAATTCCCAGTAACCCCTGCAGTATGTTCTGTTGGTCACAGGGGTGTCTGTATGTCAAATTGGGTCCCAGTCTATTGTCGGTGGGGGTTACTGTTTCTTTGGATGGAGGTGAACTACAACTTCCAAAATCAAGGCCAATTGCCCCCAAACCCTAAGGCAGTATGTTCAGTTGGTCATGGGGTTTCTATGTGCTAAGTTAGGTACTAGGCCATTTTAGGGTGGTCTGGATTACTCTTTGATTGCAGGCAAACTATAAATCCCTGTACCTACAACTAAGAAGGTACATGGTACATGGGCTGGTCCATGAGGTCACGAAGAGTCGGAGACGACTGAACGAATGAACAACAACAACAACTAAGAAATGTCAAAGCCAATTTGACCTCCAAATCCACCGCTATTCAAATTGGGGCATATCAGGAATGCATGCCAAGTTTGTTCCAGATCCATCATGGTTTGCGTTCGTAATGTGCTCTGGATGTAGGTGAACTACAACTCCCATAAATCCTTCCAAAGACCTTCAGTGGTTTTTCTTGATTGTGGGGGTTCTGTGTGCCAAGTTGGTTCCAAGTCCATCCTAGGTGGGGTACAGAGTGGGCTTTCATTACAGCTGAACTATAAATCCCAGTACCTACAACTAACAAATGTCAAGGACAATTCTACCCCCAAATCCACCACTATTCCAATTGGGTAATATCAGGTATGCATGCCAGGTTTGGTCCAGATCCATTGTTGTTTGGGTTCGTAATGCGCTCTGGATGTAGGTGAACTACAACTCCCATAAATCCTTCCAAAGACCTCCAGTGGTTTTTCTTGATCGTGGGGGTTCTGTGTGCCAAGTTGGTTCCAAGTCCATCCAAGTTGGTTCCAAGTCCAGCTGAACTATAAATCCCAGTACCTACAACTAACAAATGTCAAGGCCAGTTCCACCCCCAAATCCACCAATATTCCAATTTGGGCATAATTCGCAAATCAATTCGATAAAAATCAGACCATGTGATTTTTCTGGATGTGTTTTCTCGTGTGTTTTCTCATAGTTGAGATCTACCTTGGATGTTGATTTAAGTGGGACAACTTGCACCATTGATATCTGACTAAATACACCCCCCACATATCTATCTCAATATCCTATCTATCTTGAAGTTTGCCCATGCTTGCCCTGTACTATCTGTGATCCAGGGGACACTTGTGGGCCTTTCTTGGGGGGAATTGTCTCCTGAAGCACCTTCCCGTTCGTTTTTGCTCCCCTGTCTTGCAGATCCTTTGCGGAGGCGGTGGTGCTCTTCTCTAAGGTGGAGTGGGGCCTCCTGGGTCTGGAGCAGAGGCGCCTCTACAAGGAGGTCATGATGGAGAACTATGACCACACTACCTCCCCAGGTGAGGAGATCAGGAGATGATACACAAAGGGGACGTGGAGGGGACGGGCCCCACACCTCACCCCACAACTAACCTGAAAAGGGAAATAACTTGGGGAAGATGTGGAATAACTTGAGTATTTTTCCCTACCTGTTCCTTCAGCAGGATCCCCAAAGCCGGCCCTCCTTTCCCACCTGGAGGATGGAAGGAACCCCTTCCACCTGGGATCCATGGGCAGAGTCAGCCCTACAGGTAACGGGGGTCTAAGTATGTATTTATGGTGGCCTCAATGAGGAAGGGCAGAGTGAACAGAGTTTGTCACGTCCACAAGACAAATCTGGCCATTATGCCCTCAGGTTGCCAAAGTCTGGAGCTCCTGCTTACTTTGGGGACTGTGTAAACAGTGGCGCTGGTTCTGATTTGGATCTGATTGGGTTGTTTAGAAGGACATCTTCTAATAAAACTGGCAGTTCGAGGACTTACCGTGGGAGATTTAGAGGGAAATAGCCTGGGGAAGGCGTGGAATAACTTGAGTATTTTTCACTACCTGTTCCTTTGGCAGGATTCCCAAAGCCGACCCTCTTTTCCCACCTGAAGGACGGAGGAGACACCTTCAACCTGGGATCCATGGATGGGGACAGTCCTACAGGTAATGGATGTCTGTGTATTTATTATGGTCTCAGGTTGTTGAAGTCACAAGCTCATGCTTACTTTGAGATTGTGTGTGTAAACAGTTGAGCCGGTTCTGATTTGGAACTGATTGGCTTGCCCCCACACTGCCCAGGTCTCAAGTCTTCAATGAGGAGCAGTTAGTTAGTTTAGTATAGATGAAGGGTTTCCCTTTCCCCATGTCTCCTAGAATCATAGAATCAAAGAGTTGGAAAGACCTTGAGGGTCTTCCAGTCCAACCCCCCACCAAGAAGCAGGAAAATTTAATTTAAATCACCCCTGACAGATGGCCATCCAGCCTCTGCTTAAAAGCCTCCAAAGAAGGAGCCTCCACCACACTCCGGAGCAGAGAGTTCCACTGCTGAACAGCTCTCACAGTCAGGAAGTTCTTCCTAATGTTCAGATGGAATCTCCTTTCTTGTAGTTTGAAGCCATTGTTCCGTCCTAGTCTCCAAGGAAGCAGAAAACAAGCTTGTTCCCTCCTCCCTGTGGCTTCCTCTCACATATTTATACATGGTTATCATATCTCCTCTTGGATCCTTTTCTACGGCACATCATGCTTTGCTCACTAATGAGCTGATTCTCAACTATCCCGTTTGTTTTTGGGTGCTCTGCTGTATATTTTAGGGTTGTTTTCCCTAATAGTTTGCAAGAACATACTGTAAACAACCGGCCGTTTGGGAACTTAATCTCCTCTTCTTGATGTTGACCACTATGTTGTCATCACTAAGAAGAGTTTTTTGGAAAGTCAGTGTTCCTTCTGTACTTGAGTATTATTCACTACCTGTTCCTTTGGCAGGATCCCCGAAGCCGACCCTCATTTCCCGCCTGGTGGACGGAGAAAACCCCTTTGACCTGGGACTGATGCACAGGGACAACCCTGCAGGTAATAGATGTCCATATATTTAAGGTGGCCTCAGTGAGGTGGGGCAGAGCGAATAACTTTGTCATGTCCACAAGACACACACAACCGATTCACCTTCAGGTTGTCAAAGTCTTGAGATCATGCTTACTTTGGGACTGTGTAAATAGTTGAGCCGGTTCTGATTCGGAAGTGATTGTGTTGTCCCCCCATTTCCCAAGTCCTCAATGAGGAGAAGTTAGTTAGCATTG